TTTAGTGTGGATCGTTCGCTTTCAACTTCAAAGGTTGGATTTTTTATTCCTTAAAAAATCCTTTGGTCACATTAGTAGTATGAATAAAAATGAAGATCCACTCTTCCTCCGCAAGGAAAGGGGCTTTGGACAACGAAAACTCTGATAATGAGTAATCATTGGCATTTTTGGTCTTCAGAAAAGTCATCCCTGTTATACCACCGAACACAAATCCTACTCAAACCATAACTCAACATCCTACCATCTGCTGGCAATAAACACTCAGATTTTTTCTTTAAATCATACCTATAATATTTAAAACCATTCATATTGTCAGGGACCGAAAGGGGAAAGAAATAACTATTATAAGAGATATATCGTTATCATCTCCATTGTCGTTTGGACTGCCGAGCGGTAACAGTCAACGACATGTGGGAGCGGTTGAATCGTAGATCTATGCCTCGTTTACAAACAACACAACCCGTTTATTAGACAATTAACTTACAATAAAAGTACTATAGTCACGAAGGATTGAAGTCCTTGTATATTTCGGCGCGTAGTCTTCGAAAGAAGAGGAAAGTCCGGAGACGAGGTTTCTTATCGCTGACCGGGTTTCATTCTAAGACCAGTTCTCGAACAGGAAACGATGTCCGGTGAATGCAGATAGGAATTTCCGAAGTTTCTCTCAACGAAGGTCTATAATCGGAGGACACATCGACAAAGGACGAAGATGGAACCTTGCGGGAACACCCCAGCGAGGGACATAGCCTCGCGGGACGCTACGGCAAAGAACGAAGTTGTCCGTATGGCCTAGCCCCGGGCTTAAATATCTTGTGGTCTCGCAAATCGTTACTTTATTGGTTAATTAATTGATTAATCCTCTTTCTCAGTCCTCGATTGGCCTTTCTGCTACCAGGTAAAATTGGACCAGATCGGTTCCCGAGAAAGACGATTGTTCATGAATACAATTCGATACGGTCTTTCGTTCGGTGTTGAACGAACTTTAAATACTTTGTACCTTAACTAACATTTCCTTTTTTGTTTTTGTTTGTCTTGTCTTATAAAAAATTTAATTTACTAATTTTTCTTCTTTTTTACCGCGTGGTTTTAATATTAAAATAATTTTATTTTTCCTCTTTTCCTTTTTAGTTCCCTTAATTTTAATTAATCGCGAAGATCAAGATTCGTTTTTGTTTGTATATGTGATTAAAAGAATGCTTTTCATCCCAGCCCAGGGCTTCACAAAATTAAATTTCTTTTCACCACTGAAGACATGAATTTCCAATGTGTAATCGTATTTGCTTTTACAAATTGTCATTTCCTTGCTGCAATGATTGTCAATTTTGATTTTGTTTTCGGTAAGTCCAAACTAAGCATACGTGACTGTGCATACCCTTTTCACTGAAGATACCACTAATAGGAAGTTCGAAATCAGAACTTTATTTGCAGAACATTCAGTTTAGGAGACAGATCTAACTATTCTTGCTTTACCTCTACCATGTATGTGTTAATTTCGATGATCTTTCACCTAAATTCTTCTTCCGTAATTTATAGGCTCTCAGTAGTAATGGTATGGGCCATACTGATCACAAATCTTAATTTTATTTTAACAAAAAGTTTAATATATCCCGTTTAATTATTAAATTTTTTATTATAAAATTAAGTTGTGCTGATTTTTAGTAATAATTTTTAAAATAAAAATTTGTTCGAGTAAATTAAAACACAACAATTTGAAATAATATAACACCAAAAAAACGAAATTTGAAGATTGAAAGTTGCAATCATGGAAGCATATGGTTTTACTACTACTTACGACGGTGATAGAATTATTCTGTTTTTCCTCGTTTGTACAAGTCTTTGGATACCTGTATTGTTGCGGTAAATAATTTTTCTTTCGATATTCCCGATAATTTCCCATTGTTTTACGTTATTTGAAAGTTAACAACGAAATATGGAAAGGAGATGAAAAATTTGGTTTTGTAATTGTTGACGAGGACAGAAGAATTAGTGAAGTTAGTAATAAATTATATTATTCGTTCGAGGAATGTTCAGAAGTTATGAACGAAATTTATATAGAAAAGAACAAAAAGAATATATTAATTTTTAGGGAGATAAGTTGTGGATCAAAGCATTATAAATTTACTAAAGTTTATAAAATCGATTGATATATATTTCAAACATCCTAGTAACTATAATCGTTGGATCCTCGCAATGCGGAAAGACTATACAAGTGGGAAGAAAAATTATTCGCAGCAAAATTTACGAGAAGACATTTAAAAACAAGGTTCTATGGTGTTATTCTGTATATTTACCGTTTTTCACGAGGAAAAATATGTTACATTCATGTATGATTTACCTGAATCCGTGCAAGGATGAGATTTAGTAATAATTGATGATTTGATGAACTCGGTTCATAAACTGCGTTCTTGTTTACAACAGAGTCTCGTCATTATAATGTAAGCGTGATCCTTATAATGCAAAGTTTGTTTCCAAATAAAAAAAAAATAGAATTATGAGAGACATATCTTAAAACACGCGTTATTTGACTTTACTTTAAAATAATCGTGATGAAAATCAAGTAAGTTGTTTGGGAGGCAAGTTTTCGCTGGTAAATGCGACTTTTTTTATGGACGCATATAAAAAAGCGACAGAAAAAGAATTTGGTTATTTGTAATTGGATTTTCATCCTAAAACGAATAAGAAACTTTCTGTGAGATTCGTGTTTTGCAGACGAATAAGATGTTTTTTGGATATACTTACCAATAAAATGAAGAACGTAAAGAAAAATTATCGTATGTTAGCACTTTTGGCCAAGACTACTACTACTCAACGAAGAGCAATATTGAAAGAACCTACTCCCGATCAAATTAAAGTTTTGTGTGAAATACGCGATAATTTGCGGAGAGGAAATATATCTGCTGATGTTCTTAAATTACCAAAATATAAAAAAAATATCAGGAAATTAAATGAAAAACATGTTCCTTTAAACACTAAGAAAAGAATTTTAGTTAATCAATCTGGTGGATTCCTTCTTCTTCTACTGGTTCCATTATTATCTATGGCAGGAGGGCTAATTGGTAAGGTAATAGGGAAAAGAATCTAATGGCAAAGCAAATGGCTCTTGTCCCCCCGAATTGTTGTCAGCATATCAAAAACCTGAAATAAGAATTGGTAATAATATCAACGAATTACTTGAGACCGGTGATTTATCCGATGCTTGTAAAGCCAAATTATTAAGTCAATTGATTTCAAGGTAAGAACAGTTCATGCGCCAAAAGAATCTGTCAGAGTATCTGTTGTATCCGACAAAATCGAAGAAACAATGTCAACCCGAAGAAAAAGTTGTTGATGATGGATTTATTAAATTATTTTTAAACGCTAACCGATGCTAACCTACAAATGGCAGCTTTTCAGCACGACAGTTACTCCTACAGAGAAGCCACAATCGCAGGCGTGCCCTTGTAAAGTTGGCTATCCAGAGGAGAAGATGCCATTTAGGAACTAACTTTGGACAATTCACAAAAATTAAAAAAAAATTTTTTCAATAAAGTTTTTTTTTAATATTCAAAAACAAAGAGGTTTTCCGAGTTACATTCTGGCCGGAAGAAAAAACCCACGGGGTTAAACAAATAATTCTATCCGTACCTCAATTACATCAAAAATATATAGCATATTTAATTGATCAGTTGAATCAAAGTCAATACAGATGGAATTTTAAAGGCGAATTAACAATCGATGGTAAACCTGTTTTGGGAAGTCATATAGTAGACCCAAGTCTGCTATATGACTTTGGGTCTTAGAGTCCTTGCAAGGACAGCAAGGTCCTTTGGATCTTGTTGGATGTTGCCTTACTGTTGATGTTTGCAAAGGTGCCCTAAAACAGTTCAAGTTTCAGGGTATAAAAATAGTCCACTACTGATTAAATATAATAATAATAATTTACTGATATGATAATGAATAGGAAATTAGCCAGATAATTATTTATCGCACTATAAACATACATGAAAATAATGTTTATAATGTATGCAAACATAAAAATAGTTAAAAGTTTTCAGTTTGACAATTTTGTGTTTAAATTTATTATTTGCAATTTTTAATTCCCACTATTATAAAATTATTGGAATTGTAAATAGATCAAATTTTCAACTAAAAATCCAGAAGAGAATAGCTTTATTTCTTACATATTTTAACATAAACAACACTTCAACATACATTTAACATTATATGTCATTTTACAAATTATTTATACAGTAAAGTCTCACTAATTTGGAATTTATCATAATTTGGACTACTATTTTGCATTGTATATTTTTTAAAATATGAATTTGCCAATTCTAATCTAGGCTTAACAACTATTATTTTACTCTAGGACAGATGTGTCAAGATGTAATAAAGTAACAGTTAGAAAAAGAATACCACTTCCTTCGCATTTTAAAAATTTATCAAACCATTGTTTTTGTTCATTTAAACAGCACAATAAAATTTGACTTTAAATAAAGTGTACTTTTCAGACCATACAATATGAATTTGAGTAAAAACACTGTTAATTCAGACTTTCAATAATTTAGGCTATCCAGACTTTTCCCCCAATTAGTCCAAATTAGTGAGATTATATTGTATACAAAAGAAAAAATGAAACAGCAATATATTTGATATAATGCTTGTAGTCAATAGAACAATGAACTGTGACCAATTGTTAATCAAGTTATAACCATATTAACTATTGATATGACATCAAGATGGCAAAATTTGGCATTTTAAACCAACATCATAAAATTTATAAACAAATGATCTGTAAAACACAGTACTGAATATTTTTGTTATTCTTATCTTGGAAATGACATCAAAATTAACCAAATAAATTTTCCCTACCCGATGTTATACATTTTAAAAGAAAAAATTTATTTGAATCTTCTTATCTTCATATATTAATTTTATTATAACAACTTTCCATAGAAATCATAGAAATATTTTATTTAATTTAAAATAGACAATTCAACTCATTAAAACAAAATTTTTAAAATATTAAATTTATTTGAACAAATTACTCATATAATGTATAATACTTAATTTCATTATTTTATCACACATTGTATGACTGCATATTCACCTGAAATCATCCAATCACTTTGAAAGTTTTGAAGTTTCTCTGCTTGTCCTGAAGCCAATCCAGTTACAACATCAGCTTTCAATGTTCTTAAGGCACATAATGTTGATGGTAAAAAATTATTTAAAGCAATGTGAAAGGGTGTGGTGGTAGGCCACTTTCTATCTCCAACCAATTTTCTATAATTTAAGTCTCCTTTAAATAAAATAATATCAGCATCACTTAACTTTTGATATAAAGCTTTATCTACAATTTTCATTTCACTAAAATCATAAGGTAACGTCCAGAACTGTTCTTTTTCAATCTTCCATTCTCCACACTTTAATCTTTTATTGTATCTATCTACAAGAGTACAAACTTTCTCATTTTGTACTTGTCCCAATTCATTCAATGTCCAGTATATATCTTTTTCCATTGTATCAGACACATACCAAGGTATCATTTTAACATATATTCTTGCTTTGTCAATAAGTTTTGTAGCTGTAAGGAATTCTAACAAACATAAATCACAAATTAATTCAAAGCCAACATTGTCTAAAATTATATCAAGACAAATATTTGAATTTTGAGCAGTTTTATTTATATATTCCCATAGTTTGTCAATATCATTTACTAAAATATTCTTGTTAAGTTCCTCCAACTGCTTAATGAGACAATCTTTCTGCACATTTTCTTTACCAGCCGAAATGGATAAATCACACCTATTTGACCATAATGATAGCTATAAAAGAATTTATATATTATTTTATTAAAATAATTTTTAAAATCATTAATAGTTAATTTAAATTATGCTTATAACTAAATTTTATCATTTTTATGAAAAATTTCTAAGAAAAACTTATAGTAAAAGTAATCTATAAAATATAAAACTTTATTAATATTTTATAATTAATGTCACTCACACCATTTTATAACAAAACAACTTTAATATATCTTGACCTATATCAGAAAATAAACAACTGCTTACAATGTGGGAGTTACATAATTCAAATATAAAGGTGGTCAAATGTCTATATGTCAAAACATATTCTCCAAAATATAAACTATATCTTATTATTTTTTGATTTAGATTACTTTTAGTTGTAAACTGATGTCCCTGAGAGTAACAAGTTGTTACAAAAGGTTCTTGTTCTTATCTTTTAACAATACTAATTGGTTAAATTATAAATGGAGAAAGGTGTTTTTTGAGTTTCTTAATGAGAACATAATCATCAGATTGTATAGAAGTCACTGATTTTAAATTACAAAGTTGGTCAACAAGTTACATATATTTTTTGTTTATATTTCAATTAAATTTTGCTATCCAAAAAGCATTAATTTTTCAATCAAAACTTATTTCTGTTGAAAATTTCTGAATTGAGTTATTTTGTAAGCAAACAGAAATTGTATTGTATTGTTGCTTTCCAATTACTCTTCTCTACAGTAGCAAAAACTATGCAAATTAATCCTGTTCTGTTTTTATAATAATCTTGTTATAGATTTTATCAATATTCTATTTTCAAGATAAACACTAATAGTAGTTCGAGTCCCGCTCCGGGCCGATTTTTTCTCCCAGCGGTTCCAAATTATTTAAATTAATTAATATATTTATAATTATTAATTTTAATAAGAGATGGCGCCTAACGCTTACCTCTAGTGCCAAATTAATTACGTAATTTATTTAGAATTTAGCATTAAAATAGCCCGATTAATTTACGGCATTCGGTTGGTGTCTTACTATATTGGATATCGGGTTTGGAGATGTTTATTTACTAATAGTAGTACAAAGTTTATCAATATTTAGGTTAGCATCTTGACTTTATGATTTAGAATGCATCATAAGATCATCACAACACATCAGTGAGCCTCAACTACAGCTTGCATGTACAATGTTTCATACTGTGAAGAGTGGCTGTAGAAGAACAGTTGTTTTTATTAGCCTCAAACAAGATAGGCTTTTCTGATATCATTGGTCATCAGCAGATAAATGCATGTGTCTTCACTTTATGTCTATTTTCCTATTTATGTGAACATGCATACATAAATATATACCATTTCTTTATTTTATTGTAACTTAGTAATTAAAAAGAGAATAAAAATGAATATACTTGAAAGAGAAGATATTGCCAATAGGGTCAAGTGATAGGAAAGAGAAATAGATGTACAGTACCTTTTCATTATGTGAGGGCTCTCAAAACTGTCTCAAAGCATATAATGATATAAGTTTTGTGCAATGATACAGCCTATAAAACAAACTTTAATTTATTCACTAAACAAAAATGGAAGTAACATAGGAATGGAAGAGGGCCTATAATTTAACATTTTCAACTTCAGTTCATGCTTACATTTTATGAATGATGTAACTTTTATAAAAAAAAGTCTCCTAATGTGTACAACAAATACACTTGATATTATTTTGTTCCTGCAAAATGCCACCAACATTCAAAATTTTCTGCTACTAGTTTCTGCTATCGTGCTGGAGATAAAATTATTTGTATGATAAACTTCTTAAATGTAAAAATTCCTATTTATATTATTCATATTAATATTATGCTTACATGAAATTGGTGGTTTATTTTTACATTGAAATTGTCAGTGGATTATAGCAAAATGTGTATTGCTCATCCAATAGTTGTGCCAGTTGACTGTAACTCATAAGTTGCTCATCTACTACTGGTATATAACTTTGTACGGGAGATTCATCTTGAGAAGTAGAGCAGCTCTTGTGAGCCACTCAAGAAGAGAATCATCATTGAAAAAGTTCATATCATCCTTTAAGTTCTTAGAACACAAATTTTTAAATTTCTAAGATATTTCCAGAAAAATTGCATATTTTGTTTTTAGTTGTAAAAGTTTATATACTCACATACAGTGCCAAATATAGCATAAGAAAGAAAAAGGACCATCTTTTGGTGTTAAATTTATTTACTTGATGAATTAAATATGTGCAAGTACTTTCAACATTTGAAAATGCTATCCTCAAGTGAAAAAAAAATATACAAATTTCAAATACAGTGGAACCCCGGTTAACGAACGTCCTGGTTAACGACCAAATCGGTTAACAAACTTTTATTTTGCAAAAAATTTGTCTCGAATAACGAACAAAATTCGGATAACGAACGTAATGGTATTTTGTGTCAAATTTTAGTTGGTGTTAGGCATGCGCGAGTTAAGCATTGCTTTTCCGAGTGTTTGTGCTATGCTTCTTTTTTCAGTTTTGTGATTTATATATTTAATCAATATGGCATCCAAGAAAGTAAAAAGTCATAGCGGCAATAGAAAACGACAACGCAATATAAACGACAATGCGCTATCGCATTTGAGAAAAATTTTGATTAAAATAGTAAGACAATCAACTTTAGATCAATTTCTTGTTCCTTAGGAAAGAGTTTGTTTGTTTAAGTTATGGCAATGCAACACTTGGGCGATCTACCTAGGCCCTAGGGGAATGCCTTCTGGGAGGTGTTTTTAAGGGAAACTGGAATCTATTTAGGCATTACAGAGGTGGAGAAAACCCGGAAAACTCCACATGGCCAGCCCGTCTGAGCGAGGTGCAAACCCACGAATGAACGAACCGTGTTTAAGGTACGAAGACCACTTAGCCACTGGTGGGTTTTTTTACTGAAAGAGACTTTGACTCGAAGAATCTTCCAATGAAGTGCTACCCGTTATTTTTTGGAGGAGATTACCCTTCTAAGCATTAAGGTTCGTATATCTCCACTTTTCTGCCACCACCTACAACAAACGAAGGTATGTACAGTGCTAGTTTATTAAACAAAGTTTACATGTTTGTTGCTGTAATGATACATACTACGTTTTCTTACATTTTCATCAAAGAAAATTACTGTATATTACAAATAAAATCACAAAAATTTCGGAGACTAGAACGGATTAATTGCATTTGCATTAATTTCTATGGGAAAAATTGCTTCGGTTAACGAACGGAGTCGCGGAACGAATTAAGTTCGTTAAAGAGTTTTTAAAAAATCACTACAGTGGGGTTCCACTGTAGTGATTTTTTAAAAACTCTTTACATTGAGCGAACTTAAGAATTTTTTTTTTACCTAAATGTGTTAGAATTTGAACATGTGCAATAAAGTTTTAATTTAAAACAAATATGGAGTGTGTTCATGATATATAAAATATGATTAAAGAAATTAAATAAAATTCTAAAACATTCAGATAGGAGATTGTAATCAACTCAATAAAACCTTAAATCACTGAGAAATTATTTACCTCAATAAGGGCTTGTACACATTAGGCATTTTGCGTTGCGTTAAACGTGTGTTAGCAGCATACACACCACGCGTTAGCTCGGCGTTCGACGACCGTTTAGTGGAGCGTTAGCACTGGCTCAGTTTGGAAATGGATGTGAAAATAATTGCTAGTGTGTGCCTCCTCCATCATCGTTATAAAAGACGATGGCAGAGGCAAAGAGAATTTTGGGTGCACCCAATATTACGAGATAGACTGACGCATGGAATGTTTCTGACATTGTATCCAAAACTAAGACAATATGAACCCAAATTTTTTAATTCTTTTAGAATATCTATAAAATCATTTGACGACGGCCGGTCTCTTTTAGATTTCATCAATAAATAGATCAGTATCGAAATGATCGTTCTCCAATTCGGCCAACATACCTACACTCTACCCGAAAGCGCGCGATCGAATGTATAACAACATGGCAGCACATATATCTCAAAACGTGCGTTTTAACAAAAATCTATCAACATGCGTTTAATGCGCGCTTGGCCAAAAGTGTGCGTTTGAGTATGTATGCCTATGCAGAACTCTTGATTCTTTAAAACGCGCATTTAAAACTGCCTAATGAGTACACAGACTAAACATTTTCAACCTGCTCCACAAGCTGCCATCAGGTTTTGAAATTCTGGAACATTAAAAACTATTCCTTATCTCATAGAACATATAAGAATGTATTTGAATTACAAAGATGTTTGAATACATCAAATTTCAATAAATCAATATTCAAATTCAAAAATCTACATATAATATAATATTTGTATATGGCTTATCATTAACAAAACCATGAAAAGAAACAATAAATAATAGCCACAAGAAAACACAATAGAAAAAATAAAATAATTGACAAAATTAAATTCACAATATCAGTTTCACATTGAATGAGCATTATGAATTAGATTCTAATGAATTTCTCTTGATGATATAGTTTCATACCCTGGGTAGAATTGTTGCATCTTTATAGTTCAAACATCTCCCTGAAAGGCTACTTCTATATATCTCAACCTTTTCCAAACTCATTGCCAATGTCGGTGAGCACACTGGTTTTATGACCTTAGCTTCTTCCCGTTCAACAACTGAACCTTTAGTTTGTGCTATTCTGGATAATGCCATACAGCACTGTCCTTTTCTTATATTGTATTCATGCTCCTAAAGTCATTTGTTAAGGTTTCTGTTGGTGACCCCTAAGTATTCTTTGTTCAAGGCTAACTTATCATTCCTATATGGTATTCTTTATATTCCAGATTGCTCCCCCTTTTTAATCTTATATTTATCATTTCTCAAAAGATCATATATCATCAGTTCTCTTCTGTATAGCAACTGTGCATTCTTGTAACTTGTTACTTCCTTCATAACACCAATCAAGTTCTTGTTAAAGGTGAACTTAGTTAGGTTGTTGGTTCTTATATCTTCCTTCCTCGTCAACCTCTTTTTATTAGGTTTGGTATATGCCCTTATCAATTTTTCAATAACTTTGGTTCCATACACTAATGCAGCAAGCTGGAATGGATCTGTACTAAGCAAACACATAAGATAGAAAGAAAGAAGATATATGCACCATATATATTATGAGATCCCATTAAGAAACTACTGGAAAAAGCAAATCATATCATAATTTCTGATTCCTAAAACAATTCTTCCAAATTTTATAAAAAAATTATTTGTTTCAGTCAGAGATTAAAAATTTTTTAAATTATGATATTAACAATTAAGTATTAGTTAACTGAAAACTTTCACATCAACAAAGCAGAGAGTATGCAATGCCCCATACATGAGGTGATGTGTCATAGCAGACTTTTCTTTCGTGTAGTCAGAGCAATAAGAGATTACACTTGGTTGGTACTAATTGTCCCCATTTTAGAGAAAATAGGGTGACTGTAGAGTTGCCATCTGGCTGGCATTGGACCGCTTTTACTGGCAATCTGTATTTTGTATTTATATATTAAAAGCAAAATGTTCTATCACTGCCACACACAAATAATGTAAATTTAAAAATTGATAAGATTTACAATTTTAAAATTTCAAAACAACTTTTAAATGATTTTTAAAAACATTACAGTATTTTAATTTTCAACTGATTTAATTTTGATTTTAATTTAAATTTTGGTTTTAGTATCAGTATAAAGGCCAGAGTTTTAATTATTATTTTTAATAATTTTTATTTATTTATTATTATTTATTTTATTTTGCATTAATTTTTGCATGCATGTTTTTGGGCACTTAATTACAATTTTTTAATTAATTGCAACTCTTTTTTCTTTTGCAACATAACTATAGAAATTGTTTTAGTGTTTTGCACAAAAGATAATCAAATTTAATTTTATTTTTTAGTAATTTCATTAAATTTTGTTTTATAAGTTTACCTGCTTTTTAAATTTAAAAAATTTTAATAATAAGCAAGTTAACATTGATTGAACTATCAAGGCTATCTAGTTTCAAATCGAGGCCAGTGGTCAGCAAAACAGTTTAAAATATAAACAAAATTATGTAAAAATTATTTTTAACTAACTATAAAATTATTTTTAATATTTAGTATGTTTAGTATATAATGATAAAATGTCTTTTTCATTATAATTATGAAAGTTTTTATGATTCACAGATGATGCTATATGTTAAATTTTCAAATGCAATTTGTGCAACTTTACTGCCATTTTGAATTTAAAAAACTAATTTTTGACAGGACTGTCTTGTTTATAAAATCATACTGCCAGTTTATGTTACAAGCTTAGAGGTATGTAATGAGTACATGTCGAGAGTTGATTAAGTGCCCAAATCATTTGCACATAAAAAAATCCAGACTTATAGGTAGTCAGGAGACCGAGAACCGAGTCAAAATAAAATACAAAATGGCAACCCTCTTCTATAAACAGGCTCCTCACCCTACTGAAGTCAGATGGGAGAGAGTACCACCCACAGTCATTCTAAGAAGTGAACTCTGACCTTAGGACTGAACACATAGTTTCTTCTATGATAAATAAAATTTGTAATCTAATTTTGTAAATTTGGGAGTGCTTGAATATGACATTAAAACAGGGTTTTATGTTGTTATAAGTAGATTTTTCAACAATTATCCTAGTATAGTAAAAACGTGGGACCAATAAAAATTTGACGTTATATTAGGGTTGTCGTTACATCTGATGACGTTATAATCGGGTTAAACTGTATATTGTTTGTGCAAAATAAAAAAATAATTTTGGACGATACAAGAGCCATGATTATTTTTTCAAAAATGGGAAATTTTCATTCTGGGTTGAATTTTCAACAAAAATTCAACCCAGGCTGACACGCAACAGAGAGAAATTTCAAAATTGGATAGGTTAATTTCATCAAAAATGCATCATGGACGAACTTGTGGTCATAGCTGGCGAAGTTTGAATGATCACCCCCAAAAGCAGCAATACCAAAAAAAGATTGGAGAATGAGAACGAGACCCACCTTGAGCATCAAAGTGATTCCACTTACTAGTGAGTCTCCGAGACATAGTCTTGTCCTAAATATGGTTTTGCCGTTTTACTTGTTCAAGATAAAGTCTGCACATTCATGGCTCAAATGAATTCAAAAATTGGTTATCTCATGACAATAATGATATTTGTTCAGCTCATTGCAACATTTGCTGAACGTCATTTAGTGTTAAATACAATGGAATTAAAGCATTTATGAGGCATGCTAATTGTGAGAAGCATGAAAAAAGAAGTGCATCTTCTCATTTATCTTTCCCCAATCATCAAGTTGACCAACAAAGCAATTTCAAAAGACAGTTACCCTAGATGATACGATGGGATAGTTTTTTGAGTAAAAGGAAATTAGCTATAATTTCTTTGAAGGTAATGTTTCAATATTAATTTTACTTGAAATAAGATTACAAATTTATTTTGTAGTACACAATAAAAACATACATATCTACATATAAATGGAAAATTTTCACATTTCTGTCAAAAGATTGATTTTGGATTTCCCAAGCATTTTCCATTCTTAAGCTTGATGTTTATTAATTAATTAATGAATGTACTGTGTTTGTAATGTAAATTGTTAATTTTTCCAAACTAAAATAAACTTTAGAAAGTACTGTATTCAAAAGAACTGGAATCAGGAAAAATTTTGGTATCATTCCATCACCAGTTATAAACTGCTAAAGTTTTGGTTTTTTAAGTGTATTTAATTTGAAGACATCCACTTAAATTAGGCAGTAATGTAACAATGATGATGGCTGAAAACAGATTGGAATGTTCAGAAATAATGATCATGTAGACTGAGGTCAATGTAGGGCAATACATAAAAGACCAAGCTTACATTCCTTGGTTGCAATGACTCAGTTAATTGGTAATTTGGATTATCAGCATTATACTGTATTTATATAAATTTATCCATTGTCTGAAATACAATGCACAAACAAAAACTTAATATAAAGTATTTCTATAATTATTGTATGACCATAAGCACACATGAATAATTATAATTTAAATAAAATTCATGTTTTAACAAAAATTTAAAAAAATAAGCATAGGTTTGCCTTTATTATCTAGCTATAATAAAAAAAGGTTCTTAAAGTAAGGAGGTATTTATTAATATATTTTATTATATACACAAACACTGCATATAAACAAAGAAATGAACATATGAGTATATATAGTAGAACCCCCAATTATCCAAGACAAACCTATAAATAAATACTCTATATTTTTCTTATACTTTAATTTATAAAGAAAGTTTAAAATACTAATGTGTATTACAAAATGATTTGTTTCTGTTATCGTACGTATATCATTTACCTTTATTGGGAGACAAATCATTCATATTAAAACATAACAATAATATGCATTTTTATTCTTAACTATTACACAGAGGTTTATTAGCTATGTAATAAATGATATAAAAATTATTTTTATATATGATTAAATTCTCTAAGGTATAAAAAGAGCCTTAAAAGTATTATTATATAAATCTTTTTATATTCATAATTTTTAATCTAAAACAGCTGTGACCATCCATTTTATCTGTGTTTTCTGTTATCCAAAAAGCATCAATTCACTTTACTTCAGATAATTGGGGTTCTACTGCATACAGTTTCGTTTGTTTAAAGATAAAAAAAAATAGAAAGAAAATATATATCATACTTTTAAAAATGTAGCAAAATGTGCCTTGATTGCTTTGATTTCATTTTTATTAATATTATTTATAATATGATGCAAATATTCCATTGTCATTACAATAACATCCATTGAACCCCATAAAGCTCTTTCTTTCTTTTTACAAAATGGATCAAAGTTATTAAGCCGATCACTGCAAAAAAATATTTTAAATATATATTAATTAAATTATATTTGATGACTTGTATACAAAATTTAAACAATTTAATTTAAATAAACTAATCCAATGTTTATTATACAGGTAACCCTCATATAACACAGTATTTATGTTCCTGTAAAATCAAACATATTGTAAAACTATATTATAGAAGACTAGTACAAAACAAAAGGACCAGTACAAAAATGGAAGTTATATTCTTAAAAGCTATCAAAAATAAACCATTTGTTTTTATAACTATAGGAAACTTTATTAAAAATAGTAATAATTAAACAATATTCTAACATACATATACATGTATGTCAGATAACAGATGTTTGTTTAATTTTCCTCCTCTTCATCACTATTAAGCATATAACAACATTTGACATGAAAGATGAAGTTCTACAACATTTCTATTTCAGAATTTCATCTTCTGAACTGTCTTCTGCAGCATCCAAATTCCATATATCTTCTGCTCTCTTTAAAAAAAATTTGTAAGCTGGATTGTTTGCTTTCGCTTCATAGATCTCTGTAAATTTCGTGGTATGGAGCTAAGCATTTTTGAAGTATCCTTTTAAACTTAGTGCTCCTTTCAGTCAAAGAATCTTTGTTCAAAAAACAAGATTCTAATTGTTCTTCTAATTTATGCCTTCCCATATGAATTTTAATGTAAAATTTGAAACTTCAGAATTTATTTGCACTATAAGCCTCTAAACTGATTTGGTTTATCTCCAATCAATTTCTACAAATCTGCTTCATCAAGTTTTCTTTCTGCCAGTAATTCTTGAATATCTTTAGTAGTCATATCATCAAAACTTTGTTACTCTCCCTTTACCCTGGTGGAATCAACAGTGGGGATTCACATAAAAGAATAAAAATATTGAAAAATTATATCAAATATAATAGAAAGGAATTCCTTACACAAAAGCTAAAAAGGATTTTGTAATGTAAGGTTTGCTGATATTTTCTGAACATGTTATTAGAACAAAACTACATTGTGCAAGCACTATGTTATATGGCAGTTTGAAAGAAATAATTATTTTTTCATGCCAGATTCTTACTAGATAAAAGTTTTAAGAGCACTGTCTATCAGTATTAATAGTTTTAATGAGTAAACTATAAAAACACAAAAATAAATACAAAATATCTTGCAAGCACTTTCGACATGTATAGAATGTCTTCTTCAGGCAAAATGGAAAAAAATTTTAGATCATTGATATAAATTTTAAGTTAACGTTATTATATTCTAATTGGAACATATATGTTAAATGTAAATGGCATGCTGTCAAATTATACATTTAATCAATGGTTAAACTAAAATCAAAAATTTATGGCAGCAAAGATTTAATTTTTTTAAATTATTAAATAGTAAAACCCATATTTTTGGGAGATCTAGAATTGGGACCTATTACATGGCTCCAATTTCTCAATAAATAATGTTTCCCAGATAAATAAACAGTTGTGGTCCACACATTGTGCAAGGATGGAAATATCATTACACAGGAGTGTAAAGCAATGATCAAGAACTCTTCTAGATAATTCTGTGGAAAGTGTATTATTACAAATATCATCTTGATGTTCTAATATATGTCTTTGCATTTTTCTAGTTGTAGCCACAAAATATATCACCTTTTTATCATCATTTAGAAAAATCAAGTGTATACATAATTCCCTTACAACACTATAAGGGAATTATGTATACACCTGATTTTTCTAATGTAGTTAATTTGTCTTTGTCATTACCTAGTACTCTGCATAAGGACAGCTGCAATTTTATTGTAAGGTTAAATCCTAATTTTTGAAATCTGGTGATGTGCAATCCTGCATCAAACTCCCAATCGCTTTTCTTAGAAATTTCATTGCAGGTATTTACACAAAAAGCTCTCTGACATTCAAAGTCTGAAAAAGTCGCCAATTTTTCATTTCACTGATCTTCCTGGTACTTATGGGTTAAGAGGACACCAGTCGGAAATTGCGTTTTTTGAGAATAATGTAATTTTTTATTTGTCAAATTTAATACAATTGTTAAATTAAACAATAAATTAACGTTATACAAAAGCACAAAATTTCACATATTCTAATAATAAACCACTTGAATATGCAAATTGTTTTGTAAAGTATACCGCAAATATGGCGAACAGGTGATAAAAGTAGTTAATTTGTCTTTGTCATTACCTAGTACTCTGCATAAGGGCAGCTGCAGTTTTATTGTAAGGTTAAATCCTACTTTTTGAAATCTGGTGATGTGCAAAGACACAGGATGAGTGAGATCCATTTTAATTATTTCTAATTTTGATGGTAAGAGGAATTTTCACACGAGTTTAAATGTACTTGAATTTTGTGAGTACATCCTGCTTTATGAATTGCCATATTAATTAATAAATTGCAACTCTTTTCATACCAAACATTATGATGATGGCAATACACAGGCTCTATGAATAACTGCAGCTATGGCATTGTTTATGTAGCTAGGCAGTTGGAATGAAGTAGCTGGTATGATTTGAGAATATAGATTAAACTTGTGATATACACTGAAACAAACTCCTCCTTTAGGCATTTTTTATATTGAGAGATCTAGGAAATTTATGCTGCTGTCTTTTTCATTTTTTTACAGTAAAATTGATTAATGTGTATAAGTTATCTGGGATAACTGATGTATAAATTGCAAATTTTGAAATCAGTTCCATCCCACACTAGTAATATATCATCTACACATCTAATGTATAACAGTGGATACTTGACTACAAAAGAGCAGAAAAAACACAAAATTCAATATTCTCATGAGTAATTTAGCTAGAACCACTAAAAGTGGAGATACCATTGGTACTCCCCGTTTTTTTAAGGAAAATTTGATTATTGAAACAAAAATAATTGTTTTCTGTTATTAAGAGTAGAGCCATATTTAAATTCTTCTTTAACTGCACTTAATTAATACTCAAGCATCGACACACAAAAACCTTTATAATGCAGCCTTTTAATTCAAAATTTACTAATGTTTTCAGCCATTTTGAAAGGCCCTTGTCAGAATAACCTTACAACAATTTCGTAAATTTTGAATTAAAAGGCTGCATTATAAAAGTTTTTGTGTCTCAATGCTTGGAGTAAGAGAACTTTATATATTTCTAAAACTTGCTGCCTTTATTAATGCCAACAGATAATGCTCTTAAACTTTTATATGGGAGGTTGGGAGTTTATGCTTGATTTTAAGGTACTACCTAATAGAGTTTTATATTAATAAACTTTTAGAATATTAAATTATATTTTTAATCATCTTATATCTAAATAAATAATATAAAAGCACCAACCTAAATTTAACAGAAGTCAAATTTAACATTTTCATAATTTCTTACATTCCAGTCAGAAGATATTTTATGTACAGTACAAAACACATTTAAGAAAAAATACTTTACAATTAATAACTGTATTCAATTATTGTTGTGTAAAAATCAAATTAATTGTAAACAATAAATATTTTATTATAGAATCAATATTACTAGTGTTTTTAAAAACTGAAAAAGAGGTTGAAAAATAATTTGTTACCATCAGTTTCCAGGTTTGAAAAATATTAGCATTTACAATGAAGAAAGCAGAACAATGGCTACAAGTTTAAATCAGAATTCTAAAAGACTTAGTTGTAAACAAAACTAGTATTATTTTATTAGAATATTCTTTGGAAAAAAAATAGCATTTATATCTATAGCACTTTTCTGGCTCAAAACAAACTGCTGATGTTTTGAATTAGAAGATAGAAAATATGACGAATAAATATGAAAAATGACACAATGTCAATATAATTCATAAATCAGACAGAAAACTGTCTTTTGGCATTAATTAACTTTAACTTAACTTATAAAATATAAAAACAAAAATTATTGAAATTACTTGTATACAAGTAATTCTGATAACAATGTTATCAGCATCAGGTAAAATTTTAAAAGAAAATTATGTTATATTCAATAAAATAGTTTGAAAACTATTACATAAACATAAAAATTAAATAAAATAACGTTATATTATCAAAAATACTTATAGAATTTATAATTTCTGCTTTTATATTTTATTGTTTTATTTAAAGCTAAAATTAATGCCAAAAGACAGTCTTGCATTTTATTTATAGAAAACATAAATCAATCAAAAGATACTGAATCCTGATCTTATTCAGGATAAATTCTCTTAATCAAAACAGTGCATCTTTCTTAGTATGATAGTAAAGTGATAAAATACAATGACAGAATGACTATCCTTTAATAAGTTCATATTAGGAAAATTCATCACAGATTCATTAGTACTTCAAGATATGNACTGAATCCTGATCTTATTCAGGATAAATTCTCTTAATCAAAACAGTGCATCTTTCTTAGTATGATAGTAAAGTGATAAAATACAATGACAGAATAACTATCCTTTAATAAGTTCATATTAGGAAAATTCATCACAGATTCATTAGTACTTCAAGATATGTTAATGCCAAATTTAAAGACTTAAGAATTAAAAAAAAAAAAAAAAAACATTTAACAGCAAAGTTTGAGTTATCTTATGCATCATAATCTTAATCATAAACAGTTCAATTTGACAAATTAATCTCTTAGTGATTTCACATGTTATTATTCGGCAGTTTGCTTCAATCAGTACCTTTATTTTGTTTTCATTGGCTTCAACTGGCCATCCAGAACGTGGTGCATTTTCAATATTGAAATTGCCAGAACGAAATTTTGTAAACCAGTTTTGGCACTGTCGTTCTGTCAATACATCATCTCCATACACGTCACACAATTTTTTTCTTGCTTGAACAGCATTCTTACCATTTCGGTAATAAAAGAGCAAAATATGCCAAAAATGCTGCTTTTGATCTTCCATATTTGATGGGACATAAAAAATAAACAATTGCACAAAATCAAACAAAATTTTTTACAAATAAGCCTTAAAATGCTAGCTGTCAAAATATATAATGATAATATGGTTTAGAATGAAAATGGC